ACAATCGCTCGCACGGCTGCGCTCTGGACGAGCTGAAGTCTCCGAATGCTCTTCAAGGGCTGCCCCATGTAGAGAGGAAGGATAGCACTAGCACTTAAGACTTATATACCGCTTCACAGGGCTTTTACAGCTCTCTCTAAGCGGTTCACAGAGTCAGCCTCTTGGCCCCCAACAATCTGGGTCCTCGCTTGACCCACCTCGGAAGGATGGAAAGCCGAGTCAACCTGGAGCCTGGTGAGATTCAAACTGCCAAATTGCAGGCGACTGGCAGCCAGCAGCAGTAGCCTGCAGTACTGCACTCTAACCACTGCACCACCTCGGCGCATTCTAATCACTGCATACCATGGATGGATGGATGGATGGATGGATGGATGGATGGATGGATGAAAAGAAAGAAGGAAGGAAGGAATTAAGGGGGATAGGAAGGACAATAACAATAGCACTTAGAATTACCTACCGCTTCACAATGCTTTTACAGCCCTCTGTAAGCAGTTTGCAGAGTCAGCCTCTTGCCCCCCCAACAATCTGAGTCCTCGTTTTACCAACCTCAGAAGGATGAAAGGCCGAATCAACTTAGAGCCTGGTGAGATTCAAACTGCCAAATTGCAGGCGTCTGGCAGCCAGCAGAAGTAGCCTGCAGTACTGCACTCTAACCACTGCGCCAACGTTGCTCCATGATTTTTATTTATTTTTATTTTTTTTGCTTTTGCTGCAAATCCCAAATTCCTCGCCTATCAAAAACTTAGCAAACAGAACCAGGATAGATAGACAGACAGACAGATAGATATAGATAAATAGACAGACAGACAGACAGGCATAGCGCTTCGGCTTGCAACCCCTCATCTGTTCAATGACGATATCAACATATCAAAAACCATCCGACAGACGCCTCCCGGGGCAAATTATTAGATCTTGAGAGAATAACACCCTCACTTTCATGTTGGCCTTTCTACCCACTCCCCCCACCCCCACCTGATCTCAGCCGTGTGTTTAAAAATACAATCGTTAACGGAAGATCGGCCCAGTCTGGAGGCGCTAAAAATGCCTTGCCTCAGCTCATCAAAAATACAAGAAGCCGTCCGCAAAGGATTCAGGAATTAAAAATTAAATACAGAAAGCACTTCGCCGCTCTCCATTCCATCAAACGGGCTCTTCACAGGCAGGGCCAAACGAGAGAGAGAGAGAGAGTGTGTGTGTGTGTGAAAGAGGCTTGCTGAATTATTCCAGATGCTCTTATTTAAAACAGCTGCTGAGGCTACCGCCCAGCGACGCAACCTCGCGAGCCGCTCGAAAGTGCTGCATCATGTCGCTGCATTGTAGACCCAGCCAAAAGAAGCCCAAAGCCCTCCGAGGAGGGGACGTTCGAATCCCAGGTTTTCAGAGAACAGCGAAGAGGGAGTTCTCAAACCGTAGCCAGATCCCAAAGTTTATATTTAAAATAAAAGTAAACCACGCTTAAGTCTCCTGGGTCAAGGTTAGGTTTCAAAGGGACTCGCCCGTTTAGTTTGACTTTGGTTTATTGACACACTGGCTACAAGAAGGTTGCGGAGACATTTCATGACCCATCTAAGTAACTGTTGTGGCCCGCCAGCAGAGTCGGACAGTGAGGAGGTTGGGGAGGAAGATGGGCCAGTCCTGGAGTGTGGGGAAGGCTCGGATGAGGGTTCTGTGTCAGAGGCAGAGAAGGGGCCAGGGGCGTCTGAGTCAGACATCAGTGGGGCAGAAGAACAGCTGGAGCCTGTTCCCAGTGTGCGCATGCGCAGAGCTGCCAGACTAAAAGAACAGCTAAGAAATCAGGAAAGAACAGCTAAGAAAGCCACAGGTGGACGGTGGACAGCCTCTCCCAGAGGGAATAAAAGAGGAGCGAAAGGGGAGGGGGCTTTTGCAGGAGACAATTCATTCATTCGGTCATTAGATTCGTTTCAGGAGTGCGAAGATCTGTCCGTGAATCTCAGAGACTCTGTGCTCAGCCTTTCCTTGCACAGCACCTCATTTAGGAAAATATTTACATGGCAGCTTTCCAAGCTAGATGAGGTCTGTAGTCATAAATACTCCTTTGAAAGACTGTTTGCCGAATGTGAATGAGAGGAATTCACATTTGTTTAATAAAAGGGGTTTTGTCGGGACCAGGACTCTGCCTCCTGCTTTTTGGGAAAAGGGTCAGAACAGTAGCATCATCAGGGCTAGTGAGTGGGGCCTGTTCCCTGTTTATATACAATAACTCTCAGCTTGGCTGTCGCAACCCTTCTCCCTTTCAAATTTGAGAAGCAAGAAAGGAAGGATTAATTTGGAAGCAATTCCAAATTAATCCCATCCTACCCAGCAAATCATCTCGTCACAACCAACCTCTGCTGGAAGGAAAAGCATGAGAGATGGGGGGGGGGGGCGCATCATGGACAGTATGCAAGGATACAGATCGGGGAGGGGGTGTAGTTTTGCAAATTGGGGTGCAGCAGAGGCAGGAGGGACATGAGAGTTTGGGGAGTGGGTAAAGGAGTGTGTAGCTTGGGTCGGATTGCATAAGTGGAGGGGCGTGAGTGACCCGCACAGCAGATCCACCGAGTGCCTGGAGAAGGATACACATGTGGGACAAACTTATCCCAGCAACATTCCCCATGGCTTCCCCAATGACAGATGTTGGGGAAGCCAGCAGGAAACAGTCACAAACAGTGATCACATTGCCAAGCCCCACGATGACATGACCGCAGAGGTGCTGGGACGGTCAGATCTCCGAGGACTAATGATAACCTCCCCATGTTTTCAGCCCCATCGTAACTCCGAACGGTTACTGAGAGAATGCTCGTATGTCAAGGACCATCTGTAAGGTGAAGGTAAAGATTACCATCACACTTATGTGCTAGTCGTTCCCGACTCTAGGAGGCAGTGCTCATCTCCATTTGCAAAGCCGAAGAGCCAGCGCTGTCCGAAGACATTTCCATGGTCATGTGGCCGGCATGACTCAACGCCGAAGGCGCACAGAACGCTGTTCCCTTCCCACCAAAGGTGGTTCCTATTTGTCTACTTGCATTTTTTACCTGCTTTCAAACTGCTAGGTTGGCAGAAGCTGGGACAAGTCACGGGAGCTCAACCCATTACACGGTGCTTGGGATTCGAACCGCCGACCTTTCTGATTACCACATCCCTTTGTACTGTACATTTAAACAGTCAAAAGGTCATTAAATAAAAGTAGAACAGGCATACACGTTACTCAAAGGACCTTTTTCCCTTTCCGTTCTCTTCCCTGTAGTAACGCCAACGGCAAAATATCCTTCAGTTTGCTGAATGTCAGTGAGAATTAACATTAACACTTTTAAGGATCAAGCCACGGATGATTTACCTTATTTGACCATTTGTAGGCCTGGAGCAGTTGACTATAAAGGGGTGTTTTATCCTGGACAGGATCGAGACTCAAGAGGCCGCTGTTATGGAGGGGGTGATTTTCGGATGGTTTTCCCACCAGGTTACTCAAGCGTTCCAACTCCCTAAAACCAAATCGCAAGGAAAACAGTGTTAGAAAGCATTTCACAGACAGACAGACACACACACACACACAGTTTCCATAAATTCATCTGGGGTGTAACTCAGCAACAATTGGTGTGCACTTTCATACGTTCAAGGGGGCTAAAATCAAACAGAAAAACCAAACTACAAGTATTCCTTCACTTACAACTACAACGGGGAACGGCGGTTATTCAACAGGTCACATCCAATTTTACAATTGCTTTTGCCAAGGTGGCGCAGTGGTTAAATGCAGCACTGCAGGCTACTGCTAGATCAGCA